TCACTCCGGTTAAATCGACGAGACACACACACACACACACGAGATCAAAGAGAACCGCGTGCGCTCGCGATGCCGCTTCAAAAAAAAAAGCTGCCACATTTGACAACTTCAAAAATCATTCGACCGAAACGAAAGTCTGAAAGTAGAAGAACTATAGTCGATTTTTAATTATTTTGTCTCGGGAAAATTAATCTACCGAGAGATTTTTCTTATTCCACTTTTAATCGCTTAATAACGCACTCTTCGTTCGAACAACGGTGGCGATGATGCATCGAGAGAAGCCGGAACTACGTATATACAAAGCGGCGAACTCCTCTCTCTCACATCCTATACATAAATTTTTTTATCATCGCCGAAGTCAGTCGGTCCGCCATTTTCTGTGTGTGCCACAGAATCATTTAATGACTCGGTAACAAAGAGGAGAAAACCCCGGGAGCTACGAGAAGTAATCACGGACTCCGATGTGAGCCCGACGATCGGTGATAGAAACGTGTATCTTCTCGCCTCGGTGTGTCCTCGCCTCGTCCATCTCCGTCGTCGATCTCCGTCGTCGTCGTCGTCGTCGTCGTCGTCGTCGAGGAATGTTCGGCAGGAAATTTCCATTCTGACGGTTCGATCGGGCCGGAACGAAACGGGGCCCCGGCGTCGTCCCGGCACGGGTCTGCCCGGCGTAAAGGCCACGGGAAGAGCCGACGAGTGTCGAAGATGGCCGAGGAGCGGTTGCGCCGAGCCGCACGAGCTACCCTCGGCAAGCAGCTCGCGGCTCGCTATGGCTATTGACCGAGCTTGGCGGACCGGCCGGTCAGCTGTGCGCCTCGCCGGCGATGTAGTATTCTTCTGCTCCGCGGCCAGGGATAAGTCCTAGTCCACGTAGACGAGGCGGTGTCGTCGTCGACGAGGAGGAGGAGTCGGTCGTCGACGCGGAAATCAGCGAGAAACGGGAGAAACCGGGACGCGCTGCGCGAAGTGAAACATTTTGTGCTCCGTCCACAGTTTTCGGATTGAAAGGGGAACACAACGAGAAATCTTCCTTCCAGAAAAGGAAGATTTTCCGGCGAAAGGCGACAAAGAAGTGTTTTAAGGAATACGATTTTTCGAGAGAGAGAAACGCGGGACACAATCGCGGGACTGACGACGACGACGGTGAATCGTAAGTGGAGAAATTCGTGAGGAAGAGATAGATAAAGAAAGAAAGAAAGAGAGAGAGAGAGAGAGACACTGTTACTACCGCTGCTCGCTTCTTGCCTCTGGTCCCTTCATCGTCGTCGATGGATCGACTCGGGTGAAAGCCGAAAACGTGCGCGGATCCGTGCTCGCTTACATGCGGAAGATAAAGACGACGAGCGGAGTAGTAAAGTGAAGTAGACGGGCTGAGAGAAGAAGCCTCGAGAGAGAAAGAGAGAGGGAGAGAGAGAGAGAGAAAAAGAGGGAGAGACTTGGCCCACGGGCAATACTCGGCATGTAGAGACCGACCGACCGACCGGCTGTGCACGGCCAGCACGGAGACGATCGCGCGAGAGAGGCTAAGAGAGAGAGAGAGAGAGAGAGAACAGCAACGGCTGATCTGGAGGACGGCGAGGTCGGTAAAAGGAGACGGAAGAAAGAGAGAAAGAGAGAGAGAGAGAGAGAAAAATTGAGTGTGGGAGAGACACAGAGTGAGATAGGAAAAAAAGAGAGAGGTGGATAGGCAAATAGATAGGTTGTCCGTGTGCGCGCGCGCGCGCGTGTGTGTGTGTGTACGAGCGGGCAAGTGACGTGTGTGCTGCCGCTTCGCGTACAGGTGTGTGCGTACACGCGTGCATGCGTGGTGTGTGTATATAAAAATATATGTACATAGAGACATAAATATATATATATATACATAAATATATATATACATATAAAGAGAGAGAAAGAGAAACCGGCGGTGCAAAAAGTGCAGTGGGGCTCATCGGACTTTTTCAATACCGGAGAGAGAACTCTCTCGCGTGCGTGCACAAAACCCGTACGTACGTACGTACGTGCGTACGCCGTCCATCTATCTATCCGTCCGTCCGTTTGTCCGCCCGTCTGTGTGTGTGCGTGCGTATCTCTCAGGTGTGTGTGTGTGTGCGCGCGCGAGAGTGCGTGCGTGCGCGCCGCCTTCGCGATCGTGGACGACGGGGCACGCCGGCAAGTTTTCGGCCGAGTACCTGCGAACGAGGACGGACGGGGTGATCGAGCGATCGAGACCGGGGGCTTTCCTCTCTTTTCGTAGTTTATATCGACTCTTTTGCAAAAGAAGAACGTGAAAGAAAAAATTAAGCGGACAATTTTTAAAGGCCAAATCATTTTTGCAAAGTGCGCGCTGTCACACACAGAGACGAAGAAGAAAAAAACAAAAAGCGAAGTGGAATCATCCTTTGAAAGAAAGAGATCAGAAGGTGCGAACATCGCGCAGACGTCGATCGGAGAGAGAGAAAGAGAGAGAGAGAAAAAAAAAGAGAACGCGTACACACAGTGGAAGTGGCCGCGGCTCGTCGGAAAGAGGAGGAGGTAAATAGGATCGTCCGGCACCGGGGCCTACCTTGCCGGCCGAGAAAGAGAGGGAAAGAGAGACAGAGAGAGAGAGTGAAAAAGCGGAGCGAGCGAGCAAACGAGCCTCTGGTACACGCGAACTCCGGAGCTTTACTGCTCCGACTCGCGGTCGGTAAAGCGCGCCGGGACACACGGCGCGGTGAGATCCGCGGCGGCGAGAGAGACACGACGGCGGGCGTCCGCGAAACGAGCGCGGCCGCGCGGCTGGCAGTCGCGGCCTTCTGGTGGACGTGATAAGGACGAAGCGGCGCGCGAGATCTCAGTTCCGGGCGAGCGGTGTAGCGGTGCGACGTGCAAAGAAGAATAAAAAAAAAAGGCAGAAAGGAAACGAGAAACCCAAGCCGAGATTCTGGATCGGACTCTAAATAACTGAAGACACACAGATTTCCCGATTGAAGATTTTGATACCACAGAGTGTTGAGGATTTTTTGGTGCTGGTGTTTCTAGTCGCGTGGAAAGAAGACCGATCGAAGAGAGTTGAAGAGAGAGAATCGGAGTGTAACACGAAGAAAAGAAAAAATCCTACAAAAGTAATTTTCGAAAAGGAGCAGCAACACTCTGCGAGAGATAAGTTTCTTGATTCAACAAAAAAAATCCGCTACGTTCGATCACACGTTGGTCGTCGACGAAGGAGCGGCGGAGCTGAAAAGGCAGCTAGCTAAAAGGAAGCGAGAGGAAACAGCGGTTTCTTTTTTTTTTTTTTTTTCACGGGCCTTTCGACGCTAACGCGATCGAGCTTCTCTCCGTCGCCCGCGATCGACGCGCACATCAAAGAAGATTGGAAGAGGAGCGGGACCCGCCACACGTTTTTTTTCAACACACTCGCTCTTTACGTTCGGCAGAAACAAAACGCGACGAGGAAACCGAAGAAGGAGGAGAGAGAGAGAGAGCTCGGTGGAGGAGTGGAGGATTATAGGAGAGAAGACGAGAGAGGAGAGGATCTACTTGCTGATCAGCGCGCGAACCCGGGGCGATAAGCGGAGCGCTTCTCGCCGTCTCGAGTTGTGACGGGCTGCTGACTCGACGACGGACACACACACGGGAGCCGGTTGCTTTCAAACGCGTTTATTACAGCGTCCGCGCGTTATAATTCCAATTATATGCGTGTGAACTTTTTTCGCGACGACGATCACATTCGTCGCCTGAAATCCATCGCCGCGCCGGTTTCTCACATAACGCAAAATGAGAACTCCGCTAATTCGACTTCCACCTGTTATCGTACAATTGAGAGAGAGAGAGAGAGAGAGTTGTGTTGTCTGTAAATTGATCAAAAATCCACGTGTGAAAGCGGAGAAACAGTGAAGAAACTTCGACAACGCGGTTTTGTGTCGAAAATCAAAAAAAAAAAAAAAATCGATCCACCGAATCGAGAAAATTCAATTTTTCGAAAGCTGCGAAGCTCATCCGGAAGACTCCAACAGATCCACCGCTGTTGTTAATCGCTCCGTGGATGATAATTCGGATGCGTCGTCGGATTTAATCAATTCGATCTTGCGATTTCGGGATATCCGAATCCCGGACCGAAAAGAGATTTAGGTGTCGATTGAGGCGCGCTCCTCGACGAGGAGATAGCCGAGGACGAGGAGAGGAGAGATCTTCAGGGGTTACGCTTGAAAATCGCTCGGTGTCGTTGCTTGACACAAAACCGGTTTTCGTTCGCCTCGGCGAATCTCGGCGTTTATACAAAGGTCGTGTGTGAGAGAACGCAAGGCGCGCGCGACCGCTAACAGAGAGCGTGTGTGTGGTAGGAGTGAGATTTATGGAAAACGAATTTACACGAGGTCACACCCACGGGAGCGGCTCTCTCTCTCTCTCTCTCTCTTTTTCTATCTTTTTCTATATAAAACTCTCGTCTCTCTCGTTCGTCTTCTTCTCTGCAATTCTCGGTCTCTCTTCCTTTCCGCGCGCGCACGGATTTATTTCTATTAATACTAACGACAAAGCCGGTGCGATAACAGCTAGGAGATACTCGCCGAGACCACGCCGGGGGATCCTTGAAGAATCGACGATCAGAAGCGGCGATAAGCACACACAGCTTCGATAGATATATATACGTGTATTGCGGGGCGCGACCTTGAAGAGCGTCTCTCGGGGAACTCACATGGTCTTAAGGAGAATCAACGAACCTGAGTATCGCCGGCGAATACCGGGAGAAACTTTCGCCCAGGGTTAAGGCGCGCTTATCATGTCGACAACCTTGAGGATTCAAAAAAAAAGCGTCACCGACCACGTTTGAGTGCCGTTGCGATCGATCGAGCGCGTAATCCGCGAATAGAAACGGCAACGAAAAGGATGTCGGGGTGGATTATCGGTGTTCCGCGGAAGGAAGACTCGTCACCCGAGTCGAGCAACAACTACGCGAGAACGAGATCGGCATCACCTAGGAAGACTTAGTTTTGCTGTTAAGTTTTAATCGAGACATCATCGCTTGATGATCGATCGCGATGAAACGTGCGACGAGCGCATCCGTTGCGGCCGCCGCGACGGCCGCCGCGACGCAGGTGCATCAGAACAAGATCCAGGAGCTGTTCGCTTCGGGATCGATGTTGTCGACGACGACAACAACAACCACGAGCGCGAGCGCGATCGTCGGCAGCGCCGACGAGCAGCAGGACAAGCAGCAACAGATCGGCACGTTGTCGCCGTGGCTCGAACCGAAAGGCTCGCCGAAAGTAATCAGTCCCGGAGCTAATGATGACGGCGGCAACAACAAAACCAAATCGACGATGTCGCGGCTGCTGGCCGTCGATTCCGACAACTATATGTTGCGCAAGGGGGTCGCGACGGCGACCACGACGACGAACAACAACGGCAGCGCCACGGCCACAACTTTGTCGTCGTCGTCGTCCTCGTCGTCGTCGTCGTCGTCATCTTCCTCGTTGAACAATTCCGCGAGCGTGCAACAGCTACGGCAGATCCAAACTCTCGCCAACACGCCGTCGATCCTCGCGACTTACGGCAACGGCGATCAGGCTGCTGTCGGTCAACTGTACGACGTCGCCCGGGCGACGTACGTGTCGCCGAGGTGGTACGCCACTCATAACAATAATAATCACAACAACAACAACAACAACAATCAAGCGACGAGACAGTATCGAGAGGGAGCGGCGACGGTGACCTTGACAACGCAGCAGCAACTCGAAGAGCAATCTCTGCAGCAGCTTCAATCGCGCACGGCAACCGCGACGCTTGACGCAACGTCGACGGACGGGACCGAGAGCGAACTTGGGTTTGCGAGGTTGGTGTGCGCGAGACCGGTGTCCTTTCATCGTTACATGTGTTGGTGCGGCGCTCAGCAGCAGCAGCAGCCCCCCGCCACGGTTGCGGAAGTTGTCGGCGGGCTGCAGCTGCAGCAGCAGCCCGCGACGACGACGGCGACGTCGACGTCGACGACAGAGGGCGTCGACGCGAACTCGATCGGTGGTGGTCGCGCTACGAACGGTGGCAGAATTGCAACCACCCACGAAGGGTTAGCCGCGATACGAACGGTTATGCGCGGCGAGAATGACGGTTGTGTTAGTGGTAATCGTAATCTTTGCTGCTGCATGTGCGGTTCTCTATGCCCCGCAGAGTGCCACGCGTGCTTCCACATCGTGTGCTCGGACTACAGCGGCCAGCACTTGTGCCAATGGACTACCAAGGGTCACGCGCTGCCCGGCCAGGTTCACGACAAGGACAAGGTCAGTAAACCTAACCTAACTTTTTTTTTTAAAAAGTAGTAATGAAAGCTCAAACGTGTTTAACAAACAACATCCAATGGAGTGAAGGGCCAATATGAGGCTTTAACACAGGTATTAGTGCACCGAAAAAACTGTATTCTTATTTTGAGGATATCCCACTTACTTTAAGTATATTTTATACTAAAATAAGCGCCAAGAAGAGTTTCTTATTTTAAGAGGAAAATCCTCCAAATAGTAATATTGATAAGAATATATACTGATTAGAATATAAAAAGCCTCTATAGAAAAACATATATATCTCACTATAAAAAAAAAACTATATTCTTAAATAAAGAATATATTCTTAATTTCAGAAGAATATCATCTAAAATCTTTAAGAAGATTTTTTAAGTATAAAATCTTCTACTTACAAGAATATAATTTTTTCGGTGTGTGTATGTAATTTATTCAGATAAAAGGTAATAGTAACGTTTCGACTCTAAATTGAGTCATCTTCAGACAAAATACCTGTGTACAAAAAAAATTAGAAATACTTTAAAGAACAACAAATAAAAATAGAAACAAGAAGAACTAGAAAAATCAATCAATTTAGAGTCGAAACGTTACTATTACCTTTATCTGAATAAATTACATACACACTAATACCTGTGTTAAAGCTCATATTGGCCCTTCACTCATTGGATCTAACTTTTTTTCTTTCGTCAAAGGACGTTGAAATTAAATTAGATTTAATTTTTTTTTTTTTTTTTTTTGGATTACGCTAGCTTGAATCCTTCCAGCTTCTGTTTCGTTTCGAAACTTCTCCGAAAAGCGAATCGTTTTCGTTTCGTCGCAGCGTGCGTTGCGAAACGGGGGGTGTCGTAATTTTTTCATTGTGAAAAAAAAACACAAAGTTTACGGAAGTCTTTCAAAGACTCGAAGACTCTTTTATTATATTCTAGACATTTTACTTCAATTAGCATACACGTGCGGGCATATATATCTGGTATATTTTACGACGCAGATCGCGTCTCCGTCTTGCGACTCGTGCACAGACGACGACGACGTTTGACGACACTTTTAGACCGACGGAATTATCTTACCGCGCATGCACTATCACAGTTCGGCGAAACAAAAGCGCGCAGAAATCTCATATTCAAGGCAAAGTGCACGGTTACAAGGCGCTAAAGATCCCGCGACGTGTAGAACAATGTGTTTTTATTATTATTATTATTATTATTATTATTATTATTTATTAGCGAGATATAAAAGCTCGCAGAAAATCGATTAAGACCAAAAGCTCGTGAAAGTAATATTTCCGGCGATAAAAATTTTATCTCTGATTATGTTCCATAATGATCGATGCGTGTGTTACAAAATGCAAAAAAGATCTCAACGTGTCGTTGTGCACGTTTTTAAAAAAATTAAATTTGACGCTTGAGATAAATTTTTTCTATTTTATTTCTTCTCTTGCGGATAAATGTTTAATTTTTTAATATTTTTTTTCAGCTGCAAAAAATTATTACAGAGTTTTTTTAATGCCTAACTTTTTGATGTTTTGTTTTTTATCGGACTTAAGAGTTTAAATAATAATTCGGGAGAAAAATCAAATTGGATGAACGATGAATTTTTACTGCGTGTCTTAATACGAGGAAGATCAAGTTTTATGATCTTTATATACAAATTGCTTCGATCCCCATTATGTGACATAATTTTTAATGATATATATACGACGCCACTTGTCGGTTTGCGAAAATCTATTATACGGCGCGTATCTAATGAATTTTTGCATTAGCGCGCGAGCGCGGTATTTCGTTATCAGGGCGAGACCTGTTCGCGGCTCGATGGCGTAACGACCTAAATTTTACGACGTTCTACGTGAAATCGAGATCAAAAAAAAAAAAAAAAAAAAAGGGTGAAAAATATCGTTTCTGAAAAAATCAGAAAATACAGCAAACCTCCGCAAAAGATGACGTATCACTTTGAATATATAAAGCCAAAATTGCGCAGTTTTTTTTTATTAGCATAAAACTTATTAAGAAAATGAACAAAAAACGAAACTTGTTTATAGGCCGCAATATTTTGTTTTTTTTTGAGATATTTTTGTCATGAGTTTGAAACTCCGAATTAACCTTTTACGTACACAATTTACAAAGCGGGGTGTATATATATATATACAATATATATATATATATATATATATATATATACCTTAATATACTTCACAGCTGAGCAAATTAAGTGCAGCAAGTCCGGTGCATTTACGCTTAATTGCAGCAAAAGAGTCATTACGATGGGGGGAACGTGTACGTCATACGAAAGAGGTCAATATTCGCACGTGTTTCAAATTTTAATCATCAGGTTTAACCAAATTACCACGCACGGAAATTGTCTTAAGTACGTGTTCTATAAAAAAAAAAAAAATCAAAAGAAATTTAGCTACTGAAAAAAACCCAATCCTTAAGCTCAAATCGAATTCAATCGCTTCGTCGCGACAGTCGACGAGATACGAAACTTTCTTCGAAGAAAAGCCATTCGCAAAAAAATGTCATCACTGCTCTCGCGTGTCACTTCGTATCGTGTCCGGGATATCCGTCGCAGACGATAACTTCCGGACGAAGGTAAAAGCTCCTCCTCAAGGCGCGCGCATTCCGAACTTCAGAACGGAGTCGAGTTGCAAAGATTTGCGCGATGCGATTTAATCCACCGTGAGATACGCGGGCAAGATGAGGTGTATAACGACGGTAAAGGCGAGGATAAGGAGGCGCACTACCGATCTCTCTCAAGCTTAATCGACCTATATCGATCGTGCGACGAGCGCGCAAATGTGCAAGTTGCAACGCGCGCTGCTGCGCTGCCGGCTTGGATTTTTCGAACGCGCGAAGAGAACGACGATGAAGAAAGCGAACGCACGAGGGCTTCTTATCTCGCTTAAACTGTCGTCATCGCGGATTCGGGGTTACGACGGGAGGTTACGTTTTCTTTTTTCTTTTTTTTTTTTTCTCTTCTGTGCGCTGTTTTTACGCTTTCACGCAGCTTTATCGGACCCGACGAGTGTGACTGATAGCGGCGACTGTCCGCGTCGTGCGCAGAGACATCTCGCTCCTCTCTTCGCGATCTCCTTACGTTTCTTCTCGCCGTCTCATTGGATCTCGCTCGTCGATTTATCTAATCGCGAAACCTGTGGCCGGTGGTCGCGTTAAACCGCTCCGTCTCGGACGAGAGAGCGAGAGAGAAAGAGAAAGGGAGTGGGAAGGGGGCAAGTGCAAAAAAAAAACAAAAAAAAAACTAATAAGAGATGCTCTGTTTTTTATTGATGTCTCTTTGCGACAGTGTTTGTGTAATGCTAATAATTAAACACGCGTAGATGGTATCTCATACACGTGCGCATTAAATAATCATTATCCAAGAGCCATAATTATCAATCATAGAGGATTAGTGCGACAATGGGAATATTGTTACAATCGCGTATAATGATAGATTACACACTACACACACACACACACACGTGTGTGTATATATATATATATATTGTATATATATACATATATACAGGGTGTCCCAGAATTGCCGTACAATCTCTCGTAGGCAGGTAGAAGGAATAAAACTGAGTCGAAAAGTCCTGAACCATTTTTTTTAATTATTTATAATAAAGGAGTAATTTATTGAGTAAATCAGGCCAATCAGCGCCGATCTTTAGCCAGGCGCACGTCGGTGAGCCAACGCGCCTGGTGTGTGTGAGCACTCCGCGCGGTTCACTGACGCGCGCCTGGCTAAAGGTCGGCGCTGATTGGCCTGGTTTACTCAATAATTACTCCTTTATTATAAATAATAGAAAAAAATGGTTCAGGACTTTTCGACTCAGTTTTATTCCTTCTATCTGCTTACGAGAGATTGTACGGCAATTCTGGGACACCCTGTATATATATATATACGCGCGCGCGCGTGTGTGTGTGTGTGTAAGGTTCGGTTACTATCGAGAACTCAATCGCACATTGATAATTGAATAAAACCGGTGATATCTGCAAATGTCCCGGTTGATTACAATTGGCTAGGATATATTTTCAATTATTTGTGACACGTCTCCGGGACGAGAATTGTCACCTTAATTTATATTTAATTGGACGAAATACTACAAGCGAATTGAGATATATCGAGAACTTTAATGAGAATAATTGGATTCGGACTCTCTCAGAAGAAAATGGGGTTTTGTGATTGGAGCGATTTGAGTTCTCTCAGTTAAATAATTACATAACGAGATGTTGAAAGGAGAAATACAATTATAGACGTTTCTTGAAACACACGCAACGTGATAATGGCTTGTATTTATACACCATCGACGTGGTGTGTATACACAAAGAAACATACAAATAATTTAATTGGCTTATTTCTTTTTTAGAGAAATTGATACGTTTAGTAGACAAAGATGTGTAATTACGCGAGAATCGCTAGAATTGCTTGATGCGCACGAGAGACGTGTTGTTTCTAATCGAATCAAGCCAACACACATTCGTGCGCTAATGTATAAATGTTGTTATTTTTTTTTTAGTAACGAGATTAGGAATTTTATTTAAACACAGCGCGGTAGAGTGAGGCGTAATTTAAGAAACATTTGTATCTTGCAAGAATATTTCGAATGTAAATTACACAAAAATATCACGCCGATGTGATTTCAAGAGTAGCAATTCAATTAGATCACTCGGTTAAATCGCATAAATTGTCTCTTATTAGTATGAGAAAATATCAGATATCTGGGCGAAATTAGCGTCCGAAGAGATCTAAATTGCTCCGGACTTTCACTCTCTTCTAGTTCAACCGATTAATGGGATGTGATTACTCCAATTTGCTACGTGAATCATTCTGGAAAATGATTCTGGAATATCACGGTTTAGAAAGGAATTAATACCAATTGTCGAATGAGAATAAAAAAAAAAAAAAAACACACAAATTCCACCGGATATATCAAAGCTAGGGAAAATTGACACGTGTTCCCATTTGGAGATCTCGAAGATAATGAATTGCCGTGTACACACCGGCTAATGAACAGGACACCCTCGGCTTATTATTCATTTCCGTTTGCGAGGAATCAATTAATCACGCGCGTAAAAGGCTTATTTTACACACACGATTCGCTATTGATGATCTTGTCAAATAATTTTTTACGTATTATTAAGACACAGAATATATTTTTTTTTTTTTCTATAAAAGTTTTGAAAGATTAATTGTTTTTGCTTTAAATTTCAACAACTCTATTATAAATAAGTTAGAAACAATTGTTAATGTTAAAAGAAAAGTGAAAAAGTTGCGACAATTTTTTTTCCAATATTTTTATTAAAATATAAAAACTATATAACGTATGTGGTATATGTATTCTATTATTATTATTAATATATTATTAACGCGTTAGAGTATAATATGCACTACATGATTGCGCGCATACGCGTGTGTGTTTACTCATTTTCACTTTCAAGTGAGATAAATGTTTTCACGTTGTTACATTTTGCTCTTGCTTAAAGATCTTCTTTATATTCCACTTTTGTTTTTTTCATGTAACTACGTTTCCGCGATTTGTATAATTTGGCAATAAAAATGCCGGTCCAAGTGTGAGCGATTCTGTAATCGCTAACGATAACACCGCTATCGTTAACGTATTCTTATTTTTTTTTTTTTTTGCATAGAAAATAAATCACAAAATATATACGTTGTTGTGCAATGTGTTGGACAATAGAACATTGTCATTGGTAGTTACAGAATCGGGCCCGGTAATCGCAAGACACGTCTCTTGCGTGTGTATGTGCGCAATAAGCTTTTCCTTCGCGCGCGCAGCTGAACTTGGCGCTCGATCAGAGAGATCGCGTTCGATTCTCACGTCGTCAATCCGAGATGTCCACCTACGATCTAATTTCTCTGTTCGCAGCCCGTAAGTGAATGGACATCGCTGAACGTTGTTGAATGGATGTCAGCCCTAAATCTGTACCGCTATGCGGACGTCTTCAAATCGAAGGACATCAAAGGCAGCGATCTGCTTCATCTGGATCGGGAGAAGCTTATGGTAAGCCCCCCCGCTCCGATCTCTTTTGATCATTTTAATTACGTATTTAGCATACCGGGCGCGCGTCTACACATCTCACGGGATTAGTCGTCGTTCTCGATGACTCAAAAGTCTCTTTGAAACAAGGAAACTTGGGAAACGTTCGTAATCGCTATCGATATTAGATTTTTTATGATAATTTAAGATAAAATATCCATTTCATTTTAGGTACGTGTCGCGCGAAGTATATTCTATTAAAGCAACTTTAATAATAACACACGTAAGTGTTTTATAACAATATTTAAGTTTGATGAATGGCGTGACACGCAGAAAGAACAGCGTGCGACATTGTTGCAATGTGTATTCTCATAAGATTGCACGACCGAAACACGATGCGTATCCGGCGATGGTTAAAGACACTTCATAATTGTGATTAAATCATGACTCTCAATCAAAGTAACAGTTTCCGTTTCATTTGATCGATCGCAGTTTGGAATAATGCACTACTTTCCGCGTGAAATAAATACACATGTGAGAATAGAGAGAACTTAAAAATCAATTATATCAGCAAAAATTAATATACATCATTTTTCTAAGTCGCCGCGCAAATAATTGCACGAAAGACATTTGTTTAACTTGTTACCGAACGCCGGATGTACATAATCTGTTCGACGAAAAAAAAAAAAACAAAGAGAACGAAACGCTGTTTAATTTTTTGCAATAAAAAATAATAACTGAAAAAAAAAAAAGGAATATCACTACGGAAGTAGGTTGAACACAATTGTGCGAATCAAAGTCTTTTTTTTTTTTGTATTTTTCCCCACTTGAATGAAATTCAATTCTGTGACAAACAATCGTCAGCATTTATTTCCGAGCTATATTTAAAATTGTAGATTGTGCGCGAAGATGAAAATTTGATCGCTTCGGCGTACGGCGACGAACACATGCGTTTTGTATATTTCGTTATTTAACTTCTGTTCTCTTCTGAGACACTTTTTTTATGTTGCATTATTTTGTCGCGCGAAGTTTTCGATTTTGTAAAAGAAAAAAAATCGCTTTAATTAAAAACAATTGGTTTTATTCTGAGTCTGTAATTTTTGTTTTAAATTCTGAAACTGATCGGAGAAAATTAGAAATTAAATTTCTCTCCCCGACGTCTAGAGAGAGAAAATAAAAAAAGAAATTAATAAATAAGCAAAATACAATACCTTTTGTTTTAAATTACAAAAACAAGTGTGTAAAAAAAAGTCGCTTTCTTCGAAATGATCGATTTTTTCTCTCTTTTTTTTCTTTCGCTCATTTCGGATCGAATCAGGAACAAAGACGGAATCGCGCACGATCGAAAATTCATCGACTAGTTACTCTCGGGAGAAGCGATGACCTCGAGCCGAGAGTATCTGGATGACGTTTTCCTTGGCCCGTTGACCTTGTAATTGCCCTGTAGCGTCTGCTGGTGCGCCACAGTCGAGTCTTTTATCGAATCCTCTCTTTCTCTCGTTCTTCCCATCTCGTTCTTTCCGCTGATTTTTCTTTATCGTTTATCGTTTCTCACAAGCGACTCTCCGAAGCTCTCTTTCGAGCGTGCTTTCGAATTGCCGCCGAGAGACCATCTTCTTGTCTCTCTGTCGCTGCGCGATGAACTTAAACGTTCGACGTTATTATCTTTATATACAGCGAGGTTTGGAGGGGAAAGGCGCTGAATTTAACGAGATCACTCTTTTATCGACGCAACGCGTCATTCTTCGCGATGTACTTATCGCGCACTTGTGTGTTACTAATATCTTCTCTCAATAGCCACGATTCGACAAGAGATCTTTATATATATATATACATCTAGTTGGATAAAAGTTTGTAGTCGAGAAGCGATTTTTTTACCACATCTGTTTGCGATACTCGGACGCGTCGCGTTGCCACGCGTCTCTACTTTTAATTCGATGAAATCGCGGCGCGTTCTATATACTACTTGCCCATCTCGCGTTCCCTAATCAGCGCGAAACAGCGCCGGCTAAAATTTTGTTGCGTAGCACATGTAAAATGTAAAATGTGTATTATATCGCGCCGGGGAATATGTATTGCGATAATTTGTTATTTATAACTACCGCTCTGAGTTTCGGTGTTCCGACATGGATAACGATACAATTTATTATATCGCGTAACACACATGCCCGTTATATCACATATTCTGTATATGTCGCGAGCGAGACATTTGGTTGCGCAAAAAATTGCTTGATTTGAAACGCGGAGACACAATTAATTACTCACTGCAAATATATGCGCTTGAGAGATAAATAAAAATCGAATTTAAACAACTTTTTTTTTCCGTACCGGTGTAAAGTATCGTTACAAAAAAAAAAAAACTGTCGATTGCTACGAAAGAAAAAAAAAGTGAAAAAACAGAATTATTTTTATACTCTCAAGAGGATAAGATACGAAACATACATCTTGCGATTGATAACGCTGAAACAATAGTAGATAAATGTGTTGCACTCTCTCATGAAAGCGCAGGCATATATATCGCCGACGTGCAACATAAAACGGAACGCTACAAAATATATATGTCGTAAAGGGGCAGTTTCTCGCGTCGCGACGCATTCTTTTTTTTTTTTTTAATTCTTTAAAGTTTTATTTTTATAATCACACCGCACGTAATGTGTGTTTGCGGGCGTATAGTAAAATGCGTAAACAAAAAAATAAAATATACTAAAACACTACTAAATGAAAAGATTGTCGAAGCAAAAAAAAAAAAAAAAAAAAAACATACTCACACGTATTGTCGGAGGTAAAAACACAAAATGCAACACTACGAAAAATACACACAATGTGTATAAAAGGTGCTTTTCCTTACTCTTGCGAGAGTCACGATCTTTTATACTCAGCGACCAGAATTTGTTCATGATAATTTAGCGTCGCGGCTAGAGCATTCTTATGCAAATACTGCTCTCCTTACATTTGTATTCCTATTCGAATGTGTATGGTTGTTACATGTAACAACTTTTAAAGTTTTTTTTTTAAAACGTTAAATTTGCGTGGTGTTTGCGTTTTTTAAAAATAATTTCTCGCACAGGATGGTGTGCGTATAAGATAAAAGAAAGCTGCTAAAATCTAATTAAATATTTTGATATAATCAAATATATATACATATACAATTATTATTAAATTAAAAAATACACAATTCGGTTCTTCGTTACACTTTTGGCTTCTTATTAAAAAAAAAAGAAGAAAAAAAACAAACAAAAAGGTGATAAACGCAATGGTATAGCGCGAGTCTCCCACGTTTTCCTTTATTCTCTCTACACGTACGGTAGCAGTACGTCGCTGCAGTAATAATCGCATCGTGCAGGCGTTTTCCCCGCGCGTTACCACGCGCCGCATTATCATAATTACGCGCGAGCGGAATAACGGGTGTCGAGACGGACAATCGAATTACAGTCGGCGGCTGTATGGTCGGTATTGGCCAGAGTTCTCGCGCCGATGTTTGCCGTGGGAAAACGGGCGTTTCTTCGGACGGTAATTAGGCGTTTTCCACGGGCGCGCGCCCGTAATTGCTCTCGCGGGCGGATAATAAAAGCGGCTTGAATTGCAAAAATCTCCGCGGAACGCGGAGTCACGCCTGAAAATCGGGCCGCAAGCTATAAGTAAGAATAAACGGCTAAGCGTTAATTAGAGCGGGAGAGAAGACTTTCATACATTATAAAAATTTTGCAACTAATTTTGTTTGAAAAAAAAATCGATCTTTGAAATCTATTTTGTATGATTTTAGATTTTTTTCCACGTCGGACAAACCGTTTTTTTTTTTTTTATAAATTGCTGGTCCTTTTCGACGATGTTGTTTCTTCCGTACGAGACCGTTCGCGAAGATCCTTGCGCGAATTTTAGTCTCCGGCACCTTCCGTTGTGCGGAAAGTGCGCGCGGAGGGAACAAAAATGCGATCCCAAGGCTTCTTCGAGTAAATTGCATATTACTATGCTAATCGACTCGTAAATCGACACTGAGTGTCCTTTTAGTGCGAGAAATCGTTTGATTCTCCTACTCGGCTCGTCCTTCGGACGAATTCTCCCGCTTCCCGAGACCGCTTGCGACGAGATAATAAAAGACCCGCGTCTCCCTCAATTTTTTTTTTTTTTTCGACGCAGTCCTAGAAGACGGTTCACCGAATGCTCACCGTTATTTTATACCGAAAGATTTATTTTATTGGTAATTTTATTAAGAATTTATTTTATATTCTTCAGAAGTTCGTGAAGAATTTGCGAAGTGATTCTATCTCGGGAAGCCATTTGTAAAGGATCTATAAAAGATATTTTTAAACCGAAATTCATTTCTAAAAGTACTTTTAACGTTTTGTTTGCCATCAGGCGAGGATATATATATATATATATATATATACATATATATGTGTATGTGTGTATGTATGTATATATGTGCTCCGGCGAATATTCAAAGTATTCGGGGCGAATTTTCTCCTCGTCGCAAAATCGCGACTTCTCTCGGTCGTGTTTCTTGGCACTTGGAACAAAGTAACGAGCACGTCAAATTTTATTGCCGCGCTCTCGCACGGCCGCGTAATATATCGATCACTTTACTTTTGCCGGCTTGTCGCCGCTAATAATAGCGTGTGGCCCACTGCGCGCTATGGCGCCGGTCGAAATAACGCGCCATCAACGCACATGAAACGTGCGCGCGCGCGCGCACGCGCACACACACACACACACACACAGCCGAATACCATAATCTGGAAAAGAAGCCAGCTGCCGGAAGCGGTTTCTCCGCGAAACCGGGTTTATTTTTCTCTCTAGACACGATTCACATAAAACAAAATTACGATTCGAATATTTGTTCTCACGATTTTTCTCTATTTTGTTTTTTTTAATATAATTTTTATTGTGTAATTTTTCTTTTCCGTACATATGTTTTTTCTTTTACACGTAATTTTAACATTTCTTTAAAAAAATAAATAAATAAACAAACAAAGCATTCCTGCAAAAACTTCAAGGGTCACTTTATCGGGTCGTCGAAATGTGACCGTTGACAAAAATATGATTCTTTCTAGTTTATTCGCCGAGAAACGATACGCAAGTACCTCGGGTATCAAGCTCGCGATTATTTTAAGTTTTGTGTTTTGCAACACGCGAGTTTGCGAATTTAAATTGAACGCGAAAAGAAAACCTATACGATCAAGTGATTCACCGGGTACAATAAGTAATGGAGAACTTCCAGGAACTGGCAGGCACGACATTGAATTGGCCGATGTGGGTCGATTAAGCTAATGTGATTAACGGTGCGATCAAATGCAACGACGATTATCTCTCCGCACTCCCGCGGTAAGCGAGTACGCAATTTATTAAACGTGTATTGCGCGAAGGTTGCAAAAAGATTTTTATTCACAATTGCGATCGAGCTGTGTTTCTTTTTATTAGCATTTTACGATTCGATGAGTTTAGTGAGTGAATATATGTACAGAAATTATATTGTGGCGAGAGAGATAATTGCAATTATATATATACAAATCACGCAAGTTGATTATACGTGTCGACTTTTTTGTCCGTTTTTATCGCGTTCGTTTCTGTAATTAGATTTTTGATCGCTTTGTTAGTGATTCGCGCTTTGAGGAAAATTTTTATAAAAAATTATGAAATTCTATATATATATATATATAGATAATATATATATTCTATATATTCTATATATTCTATATATATATATATATATATATATTCCATATATATATATATAGATTCTATATAGATATATATATAGATCTATATATGTAGATAATTTCATATATATATATATATATGTATATATACATAATACAAAGCGTAATGTAATCGTTTTCGCGAACGACAATTAAAAACATCAGCTCGCGTTGTTAAACGCGAAATATAAACATATACATATGGATTTACGGAGAAAAAGAGAGAGGGAGAGAGACGGTCACACGGAGTGCCTCGGACTTCACCCGAAGGTCTCCATTAGGCGAATGCGACCTGCATTACTAACTCGCAAACCGCGGGGTGCATTGTACCTCCTCGCGAGCGCAGTGCAGGTATTGTGCGCATATATACCCGACACCTGTTGCCACGACCGTGCTCTAGGGAAAACGAGATGCCTGCCGGGCAGAGAGACAGATCATAAGAGAAAAAGCGAGAGAGAGAGAGCGTCGTAACGACGCGTATAAATTACGATAGCCTGTTCACCCCTTTTACGAGCACGGTGCTCCTGACTCCTCAACGTCCCTTTTCCCATTCCCTCCCGACTGATTTACCGCCGTGGTACCCGCGAATTATCTTCCTACTTTTTGCTTCCTATGCGATAAGTCTCGCCTGTCTTAGGCAGTATTTTCCGCGGCATCGTTCACGAAAAAGAAGGAAGCGCGGAACGTAATTTACAGTTCGCGGGAGCGATCGCAATCCTCCTCCCTGCGCTCACGCGGAAAGTTTGGAAGTTGTAAATAAATTAATTATACGTACCATAAATACAACATGTGTGTATACTTATATCAAGATCATTAAGTATAAAACTTAATGATGCAATAAAAATTATTCTTCAAAAAATTAATTAAAAAATTGCGAGATTTAATATCGATCGTTATTTTATTTTATGCGAATCGTGTTTAAAGAAAAATCCGATATGACATTTGTTCAATTTTCAAATTTAATAACATATGCTAGATATATTAATTGATTTATATTTGGAAAAAAATATATAGATAATTAATCTCGCGCGGTTAAATGTAGGGTTTTATGTGAAATTTTTTGAAATAGCGGCGCGATATGCGCGGTTGTGAGAGTCTAGAATGTTTGATTCCCGTCGAAAGAAATGGACCAGCGGATCTTAATCATTTCCATTATCTTCGAAGCGTTGTTAAAAACGTTGTTAAACTCTCGGTAGCGCTTGGATTTATTTACGATAAGGATATTATTTTCGCTCATTAGTCACCAAGTAACTTGTCTCCACGCTCGACTTTGACACGCGTTGTGCGGCTCGGCTCTTTATAAATCTCGCTCTTGGCTCTCGCGCTTATATTCGCGCGCTTATATATCCTTACGGATTTACAACCGTCACTTAGATACGACGACGCGCGCGACGTTTTCGCCAGCGGCGGCGACGACGACGGAAAAGTCACCGCGACTCGGTCAGTGATTTCGCGGAATCGGTCTCAAAGGATTCTCGCGTCTTCTTCTCTTCTACGCGCGCACGTGGTGCGGTCTGTTAAAAGTCAGTTAAAGTTCACGAGAGTAAAAAATCAAAAACAAGAGCCACAACTTTTGGTTTAATACACGTATATAGAAAAACAGTTCCAACCGTTGGTGTGGTGCTGCGTAAAAATTGATTGTTGTATCTATGTAACATTTTTTTTTTTATACAAGTTGCAAGAAAACCCGTAAATAAAAGCGAAGTTTCGAACGATTATTTTTATAAACGAAACAAAATTAAAGCGAGATACTTGGATACCGACCAAAATTTTGCGCTCTGTACTTCGTGTGTACTTGGGACGTCGTTTTGTCATTGAGCGAAACAAACATAGTAGTTTTCACTCTCAGTCGTGTACCTTAATCGTCGCAAGAAAGAGAAATATCGGTACGACTTTTCAGCGCGCAATCAAAACATTTCAGATATAACTTTTTTCTTATCGCTCAGAGTTTTATAAATATTTACAAGTGTATATTTATACTTTCTCGATCCCAGTTATACAGGGTGTCCCAGAATTGTACAATCTCTCGTAGGCAGGTAGAAGGAGTAAAACTGAGTCGAAAAGTCCTGAACTATTTTTTTCTATTATTTATAATATAGGAGTTAATTATTGAGTAAATCAGGCCAATCACAGCGCAGATCTTTAGCCAGAGCCGCGCGCCTGGTGTGTGTGAAATTACTTCTTTTATTATAAATAATGGAAAAAAATAGTTCAGAACTTTTCGACTCAGTTTTACTCCTTCTACCTGCCTACGAGAGATTGTACGGCAATTCTGGGACACTCTGTATATTGTTGTATATTTTATTTCATCCGAAGCGTGAATGCACGCGTGGCAATAATTTTCCGTCGCAAGCAGGATTAAAATGTAAAACGTATCTTAACAATAAAACCGGTGTTTTTTATTTTTTCCTCATTTAAAAGACGCGGCTTTCTCTGTTGCAGAATATGGGCATAAAAGATGAATTTCATCAGAGGAGCATCTTAGTGTGTATCGAGGAACTTTGCCAACTGTCGCCGCCTCCGGTGGCGACCGAGACGGCTGGAACGACGTCGCCGCTCGTAGATTCCCTTGGGAGCTGTTCCCTCGGGATCAGCTATTCGGACAACAATGTGACCAATAACGCACACAATCTCGTGCCGCAGAGCTTCAGCGTGTTAGAGAAGTGCGGCAAATGCCATAAATACCTCAGGGGCCTCTTACATCAAGGCTTTCTCTGTCAAGGTACGTACGTCCGTTTCCGTCCTCCAATCGTCGACCTTTGTTACGTTCGCAATCAGTCGAGTACTTTGATGAATACTGAACAGCGTCTACGGAACTATACGGAATAATGTTTGATTGAATTGAACTTTGATTTGATACTTTTTCTTTTTTTTCGTCGAGACGATGAATTCCAATTTCTCTGTTTCTTTGTCTCGGTCAAAGAACTTGATCAGTCATTAAGCGTTTGACTTTCAATTAATTTTTTTAAAATTAAATTAACGATATCAATTTGCCTCTTTGCTAATTTTACATAGAGCTTTGAAATTTATCACTGAAAATTTATTCCAATCTCGTGTTTACTCCCGCGTGACAATCGCTCCCGATTAATTCTACTAATCAAGCTCGAATGGATTTAGAAAAAAAAAAAAAAAAGAATTCTGCGTTTCGCGCTGTTGATCTCGCGAATTGTCTATGTTGCGCAGATTGTGGCTTGGTCGCTCACAGGACGTGTTCAGCGACGGGTTTGCCTTCCAATTGCGTATCGACCGACTCGAATAATCGTATCAGCAGGTTTACTTCAGGTAAGTCACGTAGTTCTTGAATCGGCGCGGCGCGCGGCGCCGTCGCCGCCGCTCGCTGCAAGTTTTATGGCGTCGCAGAATAGGTGCAGCATATCCATTAATCCTTCATCGCGCCCCTTAATGTATAGAACACGGAAAGACGCTAAAAAATTCAGTTGTCTTCCAACGAGAGAGGGCAGAGCAGGGTGATTGCGTCAGATAAGCGCTCGTGGCTAAAGCGGGATACTCGTTTACAATCGTGGCGATCGTGTGTGCGAGTCACTCGCGAAGCTGTTATGATAACCTTCTTATGATAAACCTGGATCATTCGACTGCACCTTACCTCACGGCTGACGACTTTCTTTCATTGAAATCCCGCGCGTTTGCGTGGGAGTCGCCTCACTTGCTTGGCATTTAATGATCCTTAACCGAGCGCGCGAGTTTCGACACGCTCCTGATTCGCTGCAGCGCGCGTTTCCCACTTTGCGAAAAAGTAATATAACCATTTAGCGGCGACGCGAATATATTCCATTGAATTTATTCGTTGCAATTAAGAGTTTTTAGTTTATTTAATTAAAATCTGACATTAAAATTGAGATATGTATATTTTTTATCTTCGTTTATGTAAATTAGTTTTCGAAACTTCTGTTCACTAAATAGTTCTTTCAAAGTATTGTTAAAAAGTTTTTTTTTATTAGTTTATATATATATTAGTTATATTAGT